CTCGAAACCCTACTCATTTAGTTGTAAGTAGTTCACTTATCACCGAGCTACAACTTTTAAAAGTTCCAAGTTGTTTTCGCTGCTTATGACAAGCTCTAAACGATATTCACTGTGGATTATGATTTCTTCAAATGCCGATTTCCTTACTTTTGCCGTGTTTAGAACACCGACGTCCTATTATCATCGAATTAGTTGTACAATTACTCTATTTTATACCTTAAAGGGAACTTTTTGAAGGAAACCCTCTATTTGGTTTCATGCATACATCCATGATCTGAACATTCAAGAGAGCAAGGCATTGTATACATGAATTATAGACTTAATATTGACATCAATTTAATTAATTTGGGCTAGAGAAAGTTATTAGATGACTGCCACTAGTCTTGACAGTGAGGAAGTAATCAATGTATTTTATCATGGGGTGAAAAATCTTCCTGAGTTCGTGTATAAACTATATTCACGTGGCTAGGAAAATTCGGTTCACTTTTTTGCTCTTTCATCCTAATGATACTAGCCTTATTTCGTAGTTAGGTGGAGCCACCTAACCAAAGACTCCTATAAACAAATTTTATATATTTTTATAGAGGCTGTTTGACCTTGCTTTCCCAACTTGGTCATATCGGTAGGAAGACTTAAAGGGGCGCACCTAGTCCGGAGTCCTTTGTATGCATTATATTTTCTAGAGTTGGAACATGGACGTGGTACATTCCCAGACGTTTCGACGGCATCGTCAGTGATTCTTGCCATTCTTAGCACCACACTACAACTCGTCAAAGAGACAAGTGAAGCCGATCCTTTGACCAATTGTTTGCTAAACAATCGTGGTATTTCTCCTTCCGCCTTGGGCTAATCACCAATCCTATATCCTCGTATCACGTCTTCACTATCACACTTCTTACTTGCTTATTTAAGTCTGGTATGGTGTGCCCTTTTGAGCGGATTTCATGGGAACTCTCTACGCTCCATGCTGGATTTCTCACTCCCTCACTCCCCTTCACCTTTGGCTAGGAATTTTGATCAGTCTATTGTTACGCAGTCCTCCTTCCATAGGTCTTATCAGAGTCTACCTCATGCT